GTGCTTAAAGAATGGAGAACACAAAATTGGTCCAAAAACCTCTCATGTTCAGCTGGTTTTTTGTAAAAAGATAACAATGTTAGCCTTTTCTGCAGCTATGGGGCATATATGGTATCACTCTTGGCTGGAAGCAGTGCTTAAACAATGGGAAAAACACAAACTTTGTCCAAAAACCTCTCATGTGGATTACCAAATAGAGAGGTCATAGCTTTATGAAACAGGAAAAGACCACCGTGTAATCCATTTATTTCAACAAAGTAACTGTATTCAGAATACCGCATTTTTAAATAGTAACTGTAACAGAATACAGTTATTCATATTTTTTATTTTAAATACGTAACGCCGGTACATGTATTATGTTACTCCCCAACACTGCATGTACAGTACTTTGTAACTTGAACCTTTTCTGGTGCTATTTTTAATTACTATTCCTTAATGAACATTATTTAATCATATGAACGATCAGCTGATTGCTCAAATCGTATGTTGTAGACCTGCAGAAAATCCTGAATTACAACATCAAACAAAGACAAAAGGTAAGCTACAACCTTCTACTGAAGTTTGCAAAGCATACTTCTAAGTGTGTGCGTGTGTTTGTGTGTGTGTACAGTAAAGGGCAGCGGTGTTGCATGGATTTTTCTGCTTTATACATAAGTAGTCTGTTCGCTCTTTTATTTAGCTGTTTAAACAAATAATTTAATCAAGAACTATACACAGTACTTCCCCCCTTGGATACTTGCTTAGTCTGACATGCTTACCTGACGTGTGCATGTGTGTGTCTATTAGTAATAAAGCCCACATCTGTACCTGAAGTTTTGCAGCAGACAGAAGATTGGAGCGAGAAAACTGACAAACCTTCAGAAGACACAAAAGATAACCAAGAACAAACAGAACAGCAGGCTGATTCTTCCACCAAGTATCAAGACTCCACCAAAGAGAAAAAACTGTCTGAAGACAGACAGATGGGACAAGAGAACAAGAGGTAACAGTGGAAATGGAGATTTGTGGATCAACTGAGAACACACACAATTTCTGGCTCAGTTAATAAGGCTCAAATCTTACATTGTAGATCTGCTGAAAACCCTGAGTTGCAAAATCTAACAGACACTAAAGGTAAGCTACAAACTTCTACAACAGTTTATAACTATATTATTAGATTATTAGGTGTGTGTGTGTGTGTGTGTGTGTGTGTGTGTGTGTGTGTGAAAAGTGGGTCTGAAACGTTCAGCATACTACCTACAGAACAATGTTCTGCATGCCTGAGCAACAATTACCCTTTGCTGGACCTAAACGTCGAGGATTTGTGCACTTGTGTAAATGTTTTTCAGCTGAGTTAAACCTACTGAGTTAGCGAATGTATGATATCATTATATACTGTACAGTTATAATGCTAATGGTAGACCTTAGAAATGATGGTAGACCTTAAAAAAAACATTAACAGGCTGAGTGAAATTTCGCTCAATTTGTGTTTGGTCTTCATCATTTCAGGACAGCATACTTACACCACAGTGAACCTTGTTCTTCTGGGATTGGCTGGGACTGGAAAGAGTGCCAGTGGAAACACCATCCTTGGAGAGAAGCACTTTGTTTCTAAACCCAGTTCAAATCCAGTCACCACAGAGTGTCAGGTGGCAGAAACTGACATAAATAGTGTACATGTGCGTGTGATTGATACTCCAGACATGTTTGATGATGACACTGAACCATCAGTTCGGGACAAACATGTAAAAAGGTGCAAAGAGCTCTGTGAGTCAGAACTCTGTGTCTATGTACTTGTGATGCATGTGAGCAGATTTACAGATGGTGAGAGAGACATACTGGAAAAGTTAGAAAACACTTTTGGGACCAAAGTGAAAGAACAAACTGTCATCCTGTTCACCCGTGGAGACGACCTGGAGGAGGCAGAAATGACCCTGGAGGGTTTTCTTCATTCCTGTCAACCTGGTCTGAAAGAAATCATTGAAAAGTGCGACAACAGGTGTGTTGTTTTTGAGAACCGCAGCTCAAGTTCAGACCAGGTGGAAAAGCTAATGAACACAGTGAGCGTGGTGTTAAAGAAAACAGCAAAGATACAATAAAAAGGTCTTAGTTGTGATTTTTAAGCGAATAAATATATATTAAACCTTTTTGGGTCAGGATGGCAATAATCAAAAGTAACAAATGTCCCACCTGTGGGACTAATAAAGGTCATTTTATCTTATCATATCTTATATATGTATATGTGTGTGTCAAAGTTCAAACCAAAAGCTAATCAACAGACTGTGCATGATGTTAAAATAAACAGCATAGAAGGAATGAAAACAAAATTGTACACAAACCAAACCAAGTGATTCTTTGGTCTTTTTTACATCAACCACATTTTCTCTCAAACACTCTTATTTAGCAATTTTGTTCGTTCTTAAAAAAACATTAAACAATTTAAAATTTGCTCAGAAATTGGTGTATGTACTTCAATCATTAGTAAACATGTCAAATATTAAAAGTGAATGATAATCATAATGCATGTGTGACAGGGGATTTCTAGGAATCTCCCAAACAGCTCTTCTGCTGAGACAACTGAGTTAGAAAACACAAACACTGCAGTTGATTTACTTGCAAGGGCAGCCACATAGCGCTCGTACTCGCAGAGAGACGCTCACGGATTCGTGCTCTGTCACTGTCTGCGTTCTTTATTTATACAAGCTGGTTACACGTGTGTACAAAGATAACAAAGTTATTCCAAGAACTCAGAGCTAAGGTTCCCCTTTTCTACATCAGTATGTTCTCAGAACACAGGAAGCTGTTAGTTGCTAAAATAAGTTTATCACACAAAAGTTGTTATATGAAAAGTCACGTAGACATGTGGTTTGCCTAGTGATCGTAAAAAGGGCACATTTCATGTAGCTGATCACACTATGTACAATTTTCTTTTAACAATGTGTAATGTGGTTTATTGCATGTGATTTCCAAATGCTCTGAGTCTGTAAATGCAGGCTCAGATGAAGTTATGCTGTGCTGTAACTAGTCATGTACCACCATCTACTGAACACTTGATGTTCAAGTACCTTTCCTACTTAATTCCTACATTCCGACTTAAAGTTGGTGGTTATTGTAACTGAATTCATTTTTAGCACATTATTTAATACTTCAAACTAGGGCTGAACGATTATGGAAAATAATCTAATTGCGATTTTTGCCCCAATATTGCGATTGCGATGCGATATGCGATTATTTTTTAAGGTCTTTGTCTTCTGTATTATTAAACAAAGACAAGCAATACATCATATAGTATGGCCAATACTATATTACATTAATTTTAAACTGTTCTTTCCTGGAAGACAGACCTCTGTTATGATGACATGAGGTGATGCATGAATTGATGACTGACATTTTTATTTAACTTCTTCAATCACAACAGTATATTTGAACATACACAATAGTTTATTTTTAGCTTACAAACATCTGAGCATAAAGTGCTGACAAGGAACCCTGGTGTAAACATTAAAATGAAAGTCAGTACAATGTGCAGATTGCAGAAATATACATAAAAAAAATCAGTGGCTTTACCACACTCAGTTTTTCGACATCTGTGAACTACTAGACAGTCATTCAATTAAAAAATAATATTAAATAAATAAAACTAATAAATAAAAAATACACACATCTTACTGATCTCTGCAGTCAGTAACATTACACATAAAGTGCAAACATAATAGCAATTGTATAAACACACACACAAACACGCCTTTAAAATTTAAAGGCGTGAAATTGGACGGTCTAGTTCTGATTAGCGTCACCGCTGTCTCGGTGGAGTTTAATAAACTCGGCCGTCTGCTTCTTGCTATCTAAAATATAACCAGACACTGGTGTAAATTCTCGACTGTCTCATACTTCTGTTTAATAAGTTTTCTGTTTGACGTTTAGTCAGCTGTGTGAAAACCAAGGAGGAACCCACCCGGGGGATTAATAAAGTTTTATTTTATCTAATCTAATAACTTTAATCTCAGCCAAACCGATTTACTCACGAACAAACAAAACACTGAAAAAAGCCCAACAATAACATTTTTAGGTTGTCTAAGTGACTTATATATTACGTTTAACCCGAGCAGCGAAACTCCGCGGTGATCTGAAAATGATGTGCCGGGAGTTGTGCCGTTCTCGGCCGCATCAGTAACCCTCGAGCTCCCGGCTAGCTGTCGAGCTGGTGGGTAGCAGACGCCTCTGAAAACGTCGAAGCACTTTTGCAAATATGGGATATCTTGATAAACCGAGCAGATATTTGATGTTTACACAGCTACTTTCTCGCCTGAAAATATGTTAAAAGTTTATTTTGTGACCCAGAAAGATTAGTATGAGTAATTTTAAAACTTAGTAGCGGCCGCCATTGCTGGAAACTGGAGTTTGGCTGGGCCGCGCTATGAATTCTGGGATATGGTAGTAATTTGGACAGCCTTCGGCGCGTCGCTGTGACGTAATCGGTCTACAAATGCGGCCTCAGGAGGATGCAGCCCATGAATTTGGACATGTCCAGAGTATAATCGCAGCCTTTGCGGTTAGAAAATTGCACTTGATCATGTCGCGATATTATCGCAAATGCGATATATCGTTCAGCCCTATTTCAAACCCTTTTAGGGTTGACGATCAGTTATAATTGTTCGGAGACCTGGGTTGTCGACCCAGAGTTTTGGGTTTACTTTATCATTGAACTCTGATTTTGATATTATCATTTCTAGTCTTTTAGTTTCTTTGTTAATGTTCTGGTTACTGTCTGTGTTTCTTAGTTGCTCTGTCTCCTCTGTCTGCTGAGTCCCCTTGTCAAGTCTACATCTCTGTTTTATGTGTCCTCTTTTACTTTGAAAGTCTGTGTCTCGTGTTAATGTATCAAGTTTTGCTTCCCTTGTTTCGTTAGCCCTGATTTGCACCAGCTGTGTTTCCCTCCGGTCTCTGATTCCCTGATTGCTCCCTCTGTGTATTTAAGCCTTGTGTTTCTCTGTGTCCGTGTCGTGATCTACCCTCATTCATGCTGTCTTTTGTCTGCCTGCCTTCCTGAATTTATTCTTTGTATTTGGAAGTTTTTTACTTTTATTTCAGCAATAAAGCTGTTTTTTGGAGTTCACGTTTTGTCTCCAGAGTCTGCACTTTGGATCCCCCATTTCATCACTCCTGCCTGCACACAGCCTAAACATCATAATAATAGAACTATACCTGACTATAATATAACTATAACTATCATTTCTTCTTTTATACATGACATATAATCAGAATACAGTTACTTTGTTGAAATAAATAGAATACATAGCAGTCATCATTTCCTGTTTCATATAATAATAATAATAATAATAATAATAATAATAATGGATTGCATTTATATAGCGCTTTTCAGGGCCCTCAAAGCGCTTTACAATTCCACTATTCATTCACTCTCACATTCACACACTGGTGGAGGCAGCTACAGTTGTAGCCACAGCTGCCCTGGGGCAGACTGACAGAAGCGAGGCTGCCATGTTAGTCTATGTCCTCTCTATTCCTTCTCCAATTTTGGTGACTAAATCCAGTTGGGCGCAGGTTTAGCTCAGTTAGATGAGCATGTAGTTGTATATTGCATGGCTCAGAGCAGCTGGCCTGGGTTTGACTACAACCGGCTATAACCCCCCTTTTTTTAAATTATTAATAAATTTTTTTACTCAATTTCCATTTGGGATAAATACAATTTCCCTATTTCTGATTGCTGGATACCCAAACAAAACATGCAATTAGAGGCTCTAATGTAAGCGTCCCTTTAATGTTGGTGGCGTCAGTTTCACAATGGACCCGGGCTCAGCAATGCACAGGCAGAAATGCATTTCCAACACCACTTCATAAGAAGATTGGGGTGGTCAAAACTTCTGCATCTTCGATGCTGTAAGTAAAGTAAAAAAGTTTTAAAAAAATTTATTTATATAGCACCTTTCAAGATAAAAATCACAAAGTGCTTCACAGAAGCTAAAACCTAAAAGTAAAAATCAACCAAAAGCAAGTTTAAAAAGATGAGTTTTTAGCTGTTTTTTAAAAGCGACCACTGAGTCCACAGATCTCAGGCTCAAAGGGAGAGAGTTCCACAATCTGGGGGCCACAGTCACAAAAGCTTTGTCGCCTTTTGTTTTCAGCCTTGTGTTTTGGACAGCAAGCAAGCCCTGGTCACATGACCTCAGGGACCTGCTGGGAATGTATGGATGTAAAAGTTCACTTATACATGTTGGTGCTTGTCCATGCAAAGCCCTGAAAGTCAAGGTCAAAACCTTAAAGTGGATCCTGAATTTAACGGGGAGCCAGTGCAGCTGAATCAGCAGGGGTGTGACATGGGAAAACTTGGAGGACTTGGTCAGAAGCTTTGCAGCAGCGTTCTGAACAACTTGCAGATGCTCCAAATAGGCTTTACATAAACAAGTAAACCAAGAATTACAATAATTCAGACGAGATGAAACAAATGCATGAATGACAATTTCTAATTTGGAGCGCGATACAATGGGACTCAGCTTAGCAATGTTTCTCAAGTGATAAAAACAGGAGCGAACCAGAGATTTTACATGAGCATCCAAAGTCAGAGCTGAGTCAATAGTAACACCAAGGTTCCTGATAGACAGTTTGGCAAATGTAGCAAGTGGACCCAAGTTTTCCATAACACTAGGTACAAAATTTTTAGGAGCACAATCAAGGACTTCAGTCTTCTCCTCATTTAGGTAATGAGGTGTGTAATTTCTTCACCACTTGCTAATGTTACTGAATCTGTGGAAGTTCCGTGATAGCCACCACAAGAAGTAACGAATAACGACCCTACCTAAATCCCAGTAACAATTAACGCGTTCCTGATTTTGGCATAATAACTAGTTCCCGTGCACGTTACCACAATAATAATCTGGTTACTCTAATGCGTTACTTTATATTGCTTTAGTCCCTACACAAGGGTTCGGCAGGGTTAACTGATGACACGACCATAGCTGGACTGGCCACTGGGCATACACAAAGGCTCTGTGATTTTTCATTTTTATGGGCCGATGATTTTTTATTTTTTTTAGCAACGGTATAAACAATGAAAGATGGTGGATTGGCCAGATGCCGGCAGATGTGTAAAAATAACTCAGTTGTTTGGTGGTGGCTTTGGCGGAGCTGCCACAAGAGGCCAGGTAGATGAGGGAAGGGGAGGCAGGAGGAGGAGAGACCCGAGGTGGCCCGAGTGTCCCGAGTGTCAGATGAACTGAACTTCAGGTAAGAAGTTATGACCTGCAGTCTATCTGGGTCAGATATAAACCAAGTTTAGGTGGAGTTTATTTTCGCTGTGCTGACTTTTTACCATCAGTTACTATAACTCATACTGCGTATTAGCTAGCATGACGGAGTTTCTATACAGCTGGGTGGGTGCTATGATGTTACTGATAGTGAACTTTATTTTATTCATAAGGTTAGTTAGTTAGTAGAGTTGTCAACCGTCTACTAACTAATAGTCCCGTATTCAGAGAAAATATCACGCGTTTCGTATTGAGCTGAAAAGGAACACAGATTGTCCCGTACTTCAGCTAGGATGAAAAAAGACACAAAGCTGGAGTTATTCCGCATCTTTGCGCTGTCAGCTGCCTCTTCTTCTCTCATTCAGTCATGAAACTGATCAATGATCAGCTGATCGTCTCTCTTGTTTGTTTATCGCCCACTTTGCTCCAGAAAGAGGAAACCAGCGGATGTCGCGCTAAACAACAGCAGCACGTTTAAGCTTGATCAGCTGTTGTTAGAATTTATTTAATATTAATTTCTGGTATCAGCTGATGTTTGCTGGAGCCACAGCTGTAAAGCTGCTGGTCATGATGTCGGTTTGGATATGTGGTGAGAGGGAAACATGAAGATGAAACCAGGAGATGTCCTTACTGGATCATCAGAGCTGAACAGGTGATGGAGAAACAGGTTTACCTTTCAGCAAACATGAATGAGTTGAAGGGAAGTTATGAACTGTTTCTGAGAGACAAATAACACCAGGATCCTTTTCTATGTAGCTGACAGCTGGTAACAGCAAAGCTTTTGCCAGGGGGCCAGGTAGGGCATTAACAGGGAAAGAGGGGCACAAAGAAATACTTTTCTTTCTTATTCTCATTTAAAATGTCTTGCTTTTAACAAATACTCTCCAAATCTTACAACCAAAGTTTTTATCTGACGTAAAATGTTTAGAAATACATACATATACGAACAAGACTGTACATCACTGTCACAACAGCGTTTGTTTTCATTCAAAGGCTTTACGGATTTTCCTATAATACCTGGTGGGCCGGTCTCTAGTCAAAATACCCGGGCCAATTTTTTGTCCCAGTCCAGCTGGGCCAGCAGTCCATAGCAAATTAGCTCACATAGAAACATTAGTTGCCCCGCTTCTTAATGACGGTACCTTAGCTAACAACCCCAACTACCAGATTCAACTTGTAATTGGCTAAAAATCACTTAGCCTACTGGTGAGAGGGATGTTGCAAGCTGTCAGTTTTTACAAGCGATGTTGAAATTTCCACGTTCTGACATTTCAAATGCTTCAGTAATATAGAGCGATATTACATTTATTGCTAATGCAATTATATGGCACATTGACTTCTGAGGAAATTTTAGATAGCACTCGTTATCAAAAAGGTTGCCTACCCCTGCCCTACACTGTATGCGCAGAATAGTTTTCTATACGAGATCGCTGAAAAAAGTGCAGCCTTACCTAATGTCTACCCTACTGTTACTCATTTTATATTAAGATTGAAAAATCTAGTTGGTATTGGTATGGCTAATAACCTTCAGTAATAGTAATAAATCACACAGCAATAGTACATTCATGTGGTTGTAAAAAGCATGATATAAGTATTCAGAATACGTTACTCTCATTGAGTAACTTGAGAATTTTGTAACGAAAATATGTTACAAAATACATTTTGGGGCATGTATTCTGTAATCTTTAGTGGAGAATATTTTAAAAGTAACCTCTACAACACTGATAATGGTGTCACACATGACACACCCCTAATGTTGCACAACAGGTCCACATAATCCAGGCAGAGACAAGCACAACCTTTAGTCACCACAGATGACTTTGAGCCAAGGATAATGTCTCACAGTAAGTTCACACAACAACTATGTTTTAATTGTATGTACTGTATCAGATAAAGTAATGTTGTTTTTAATTATTTTCACAGATAAGATTTCAGTCATGATTCTGGGCAATGTGAAGTCTTTGAAGAAAGCTCTGATAACCAACATCCTGGGGAAAGATTTATCTGTTTTAACCAAAAGAAAGATTCTGAAAAACACTGAGATATATGACGATGATACATTTGAGTTCACATGTACACCAGATCTGAACACAACATGTGACGATATTAGAGAGCTATTTTCTAAGAATCCAAACTTTGACCTGTGTTTGTTGGTGGTAGAGGATGGATTTTCAACAGGAAATGTGCAAAAGCAGATAAAAGACCTCAACAAGAAGACTGGAAAACCAAGAGAAGAGTTGACAGTTGTGCTTCCACTGAGATACAAATTTACAGAATATCCATTCAAATTCTACACCCTCGAACAGGTTTTCAGCAAACTGAGCAAACTACTTAAAGATAAACAACTGAACCCAACCAACAAAAGGAAAAGGTAGAGACAAATGAATGGGTGTCAAATATTTATTTATAATTGTTTGACAGTACTTTTTCAATTACAATTGTTCAACATGGTGTTCAACCGACCAGGAAGCTCTCTTTGCTTCCTGGTCAGTTAAACCAGTTAATGTGGTTTAATTTCTACATTTTAGGTCTGCTGACACTGCTGAACCACAAGATGGAAGTAAGAAGAAAGGTAAGCCACAGTCGCTTGCTCTTTGTGTGTGTGTGTGTGTGTGTGTGTGTGTGTGTGTGTGTGTGTGTGTGTGTGTGTGACAAAGGTTTTTAAAGAAACAATTAATGTTACTTATGTAATGTTATTTACAGAGGTGTGGACTCGAGTCACATGACTTGGACTCGAGTCAGACTCGAGTCATTAATTTTATGACTTTAGACTTGACTTGAAAAAATGTTCTAAGACTTGTGACTTGACTTGGACTTTTACACCAATGACTTGGGACTTGAATTGGACTTGAACCGGTTTACTTGAAAAGACTTGATATTTTACCCCAAATATAAAATTTAACATGCATATTATATAGAGATTGAAAATGTGACGTCATTCACGGGTAGAACCGCAAAGGATTCTGGGAACTCGTGGCAAGAGGTACTAGCGCACGCAGGCTTTCAATTGAAATCAGTTATACAGCGATAAAAAGAAACACAAAAATGTCAAGAAGCTGTTGTATTATTAACTGCAATAGCCGGTCGCATGACAGCCACGGGAAGCCGACGGGTAAAGAGATCGGTTGTTATCGGATTACGTCGTTGAAGAGAAATTGTTCGAGCCATGTTTCCGAAGTAACAAAGAGGCGACTGGATTGCAGCCATTCAAAGACCAAATATAACGTCCCAGAACACTCCAGCTCACAGGTTAGTCTGCTCCAAGCATTTCACACAAGGTCAGTCTGCTGTTGTAGTTAATGCGTCATTTTTCTTAACATAATTGGTGATATAGGTTACAAGCAAGTCTGGCGCTGAACAGAAATTGTCGCGCTATGCTCCTTTTTTATTGTGCATAAATAGTGAATTGTCCTGACACAATATTGCGTTTCCTTCTGTTATTATGGTACATTGACAAAAACATATACTTTTATTCACAGGATAAAACAGTTGTTTTGTATCACTAATTGCCCAGTACGATTACAGCATACAGTATTATTGTCACTGCTACATTTCTGTGATGCTACCAGAAATTATTTCCACTACTAATTAATTACCGTTGAGCTCAAAGGTCCTATTAATAAACGGTTAACGAATGTGTATTTATGACAGACGATTTGTGAGACTGGTAAACTTATGATACGTACGATGGTCTTTCGTTCTACACGGTGCATTTCAAGGTCCTGCACCCATCCGTCGGTAAACTGTACCTGGGCTTGTTGCAGTGACCTGAAGTTACTAAACTTCATGAGTGTATGCACTCACTCCAAGAAGCAGTATAATTATAAATATGCATATAAATATGCTACGATGAGATAGCTGACTTCATCTAACTAGCAAATGTTTTCCAGGCTACGTTGGTGATGCAGTTTTTTTTAATTATGATGTATGATATTTTTGTCATGCGATTCTTAAACGCTCGGTCCGACATAACAACCAGCAAGTCAAGAAAATAAAACACTGCAGCAAAGTTATCTCAGAACTGATCGTGTGAATAAATTATTTACTTGGAGCTAGGTTTAATTGAGACTGCCCATCCATTTTATAAAAAGAGCGGATAGCCACCACTCTTCACAATTGATAGAAATAATAATTATTCATAATGTCTCACATTTATTTGTACATCGTGTCTGACCGCCAAAAAAAAAACATCCAAGATTTTAAAAATATACCAAATAAGGATCCAAAACCTCACTTTACAATTTAGAACATGACCACCCCTGCAAACCCTATCGCTTTTTCTCTCTCGGCGGTTTTTTTTAAAGACTCGATAACCAAGAAAGCTTACGACAATTCACAAAGTTCAGACAACTCCAGCCTCGCTAGAACATCTCAAGCTTGGACCTGTACCACACGTGACTGATACATACCGATCCATCCCTCGAGACTTGCACTACATTACTTACCGAGGACTTCTGACCTGACCGACATTCGAGGATAAAGACTTGAGACTTACTTGAGACTTGCAAAACAATGACTTGGTCCCACCTCTGGTTATTTATAAAGGAAGCTTCTATTTGACCTTTTTGTTCAGGCAGCAAATACTTCAGACTGCAAATTACATAACGAAACAGCTTGGAATCACCTAACCTAACATGCATGTCTTTAAGAGGAAGCTGTAGTATGGGCTCAAATTGTGGTCATTAATATTCTGTACTTGTAAATCAAATGCGTATTTGAGTTTTGTAACCTTTTAAACCAAAGTGTGTGAAAGTTTTATGTTTGTGCATCTACAGATGAGAATTTGCGTGTGTGTAAAACATATTTGTGTTTGTAAAAAATATTTACACGAGTTACACATTTTTTCTTAAGGTCTGGTTACAGATACAAAGCAAACAACTATGTGTAGAACCTGTTCCCTGGCTGCATGTGGCTTTCAACTTACACATACAAATTTTGACCAAATTTTTCTTCCTTTTAGCTGATTGATCAATATCATGTCAATCACAAATTTTAACAATTCAACTAGAGAACAGATGGGTTTGGCTATTGGAGGGGTGCTTTACGGAGCTTCAGATCCTGGAAGAATAAATTCCCTTTCATGTGCCAGCCCAGCGTTTTCCTTCATCACCACAAAGGAAAACAGTCTGTGCGTGTCCGAGTTTACGTGCTTATACAGGGACCTCCAGAGCCTTTTCAACCGCTCTGTGGACCTTCTGGGAAAAGCAGTATTGTGGAAATGACACACACTTCACTACTGGGGATAGTTACAAAGCTTTCTTCGTTACGCGATACATGTTTTTATTGAACATTTGAAGATAAAACAACACAAACTCTTGTAGAGGATATAGAGTCAGAGATACAAATGACAAGGAGCTAGTAGCTAGGCGCTAGTTCACATAGAGCTACTGCAAAAACCCACAGAGCCCAGCAGCCAGCGCAACAAATTCTGGATCCTTGGCTCTTAGTTAGCATTAGCAGCACATGCTGGGTCTGCTGTGAAAGGACCTTTATGCTGCGCACTGTGACTCACAGCAATTTCTAACCACTGATATACCAAAACTTCATCCTAGCTTGACTGCCAGTTTTAGGTTTTCGTAAAGATGTGAGATTAATCTTCCATCTTCCTGTTTTTATAGACTATCTAGAAGGCTGTCTGGCAAGGACTTCTCTTTATTATCATCTTTAGATGGTCCATCAGTGTATTTCAACTGTTGTTCAGCTTTTTGATTACAGAGAAGGAGAAGGCTGTGGGAAAGGTGAAGATGCTAGGTAGAAAGCTACCTACACCTAGCAAGAAAAGTTGACTTTAACAGGAAATGAAATGTCAGTGGACAAACTTCTCAGCCTTTTGTGACAGTTAACTGTTTTGAAACATATGAAAATGAAGGGTTAGTTCAATAAAGTTATTGTCTTAAGGATGCATTTGCATTGTTTGATTTTAATATTTATCACTCAAACATGTTGATGGCATTGTTGCATGAGTAAAAATACAAACACACCCAAACTTTGGACATAATTTAATCCTGTTTTAGGGCCCTATTATGATGAAATATTTATTTAAGGCATTTTAAAACTTTTTGGGACCCACAGACACTCTGAAAAAGTAGCTGATTTGATTTAAAGAAACTACTTATTTTATATTTAACTCAACTTCAGCTTGTTCTTCTCTTCAGAAAAGCTCACCAGCACCAAAGTGAACCTTGTTCTTCTGGGATTGGCTGGGACTGGAAAGAGTGCCAGTGGAAACACCATCCTTGGAAAGAAGCACTTTGTTTCTAGACCCAGTTCAAATCCAGTCACCACAGAGTGTCAGGTGGAAGAAACTGAGATAAATGACTTACATGTGCGTGTGATTGATACTCCAGACATGTTTGATGATGACACTGAACCATCAGTTCGGGACAAACATGTAAAAAGGTGCAAAGAGCTCTGTGAGTCAGAACTCTGTGTCTATGTACTTGTGATGCATGTGAGCAGATTTACAGATGGTGAGAGAGACATACTGGAAAAGCTAGAAAACACTTTTGGGACCAAAGTGAAAGAACAAACTGTCATCCTGTTCACCCGTGGAGAAAACCTGGAGGAGGCAGAAATGACCCTGGAGGGTTTTCTTCATTCCTGTCAACCTGGTCTGAAGGAAATCATTGAAAAGTGCAACAACAGGTGTGTTCTTTTTGAGAACCGCAGCTCAAGTTCAGACCAGGTGGAAAAGCTAATGAACACAGTGAGCGTGGTGTTAAAGAAAACAGCAAAGATACAATAAATAAAAGGAGGCTTGGATATTTTTGATTATAAATGCAAATAGTATGGATCTTTTTTTAAAGGTGTGTCTGTGTGTGAGATTCGTTAGTTATTAGTATTAACTTCGAATTTGTAATGTGTGTGTAACTGATGCAAGATTTTTACTGTACTGAATTTTAATTGGTGTGAAAGATTTACAATAAAACAAAGTTCAGTGTGCCTTATTTCTCTTTGGTGTTTGGACCACGCTGATTCTGTCCTGTTGGATCAGTGAATTTATTCATCAGTTTTTCTGGTTTGTTGTTTTTTTGTTTAGTTGTTTTGGGGCAGGGCACACAGCATAGTTACTTCTTTTGGAAGTAACTAAATAGGGAATATGGTAATCTCTGTCGAGGAGATGTCAGCAGAGATGAGGACACCAAGGAACCGGAAGGTGTGGACCCTCTCCACACACTCCCTGTTGATGTAAAGGCGGGCTAGGTCAGTGCTGTGTCTCCTGAAGTCGACAATGACCTCTTTGGTTTTTTGGCACGAGGCTGCCAACTTCAGGTCTTCCTCTGTAGTCTGCCCTGTCTCTCTTTGAGATGAGTCCAACTACCATGGTGTCATCAGCAAACTTGATGATGAGATTGTTGTTGTGGGTCGAACTGCAGTCGTGGGTGTAGAGAGAATACAGGAGGGGGCTCAGCACACAGCCCTTTGGGGAGAATGGCTCAGTGTGAGAGTGGAGGAGAGATGAGGGTCGAGTCGTACAGTATGGGGCCGGTTTGTGAGAAAGTCCTTTATCCAGGAACATGTGAGAGGGCAGAGACCAAGACTCACCAGTTTGGTGATGAGGATGTCCGGGATGATTGTATTAAAGGCTGAGCTGTAGTCCATGAAGAGCATTTGGACGTAGCTCTGCCACTGCTCTAGGTGACTCAGCACAGAGTGGAGGGCTATGGTGATGACATCTACTGTGGATCTGTTTGCGCGGTATGCAAACTGGTGGGGGTCAAATTCTGGGCGGCGGTAATCCTTGAGGTGCTGAAGAACTAGTCTCTCAAAGCATTTTATGATTACTGGCGTGAGGGCCACAGGGCGGTAGAGGCCAGCGATGATCTTTTGTGCTGTCTTGACTACACTCTGAAGCCTCGCTCTATCCGCCTTAGTGCAGCTGAATGGGAGTCGTAAGCCACTGCAACAGTGTGCGCCACTATCTTGCAACATGTCATATAAATCATGTAGTGCACCTTGATACAGCTGTTGCAATTTGGCACTGTATAAAAACTGAATTGAATACATGTGCATCTAAATACTTTGTTATTAATATACTTACATTTCCTAAATTATAGTTTGAACCATTAACATCTTCTAAACACAAAGATGGTTTGTAATTAAGACAGCACTTTATTTACAGACGGTGAATCCATCATTTATAAAGTTTTAAAATGTAGTCAGTAAACATTTAAGCATTATTAACAAGGATAAAACTGTTTAAATTCCTTATTATTAAATAAGTAGTGAGTGAGTGGAGCTTAACTAATCTGTCACAAATCACATATCCCATTTCATTCCGATTATAAGAAAGACCTCTTGATGCATGCTCAATCATCCAGGTAAGTAAATCCCACAAAAGTTAATTCTCTTCATCCAGGATCAATGGGCTGGGACCTCCCAGCCCATTGATCCTTCAGTGGGCTGGTTTCAGTCATTATGCAAATGTACTGTTTATGAGATTGGGGAAACCTGCAGTCAGCTGAGACTGAAGAAGTCTCTTGGATGTGTGACGAAACGTTTCTCCCACTGAAAACACTACAGCCAGATGAACAGAATCAGCTTTTGGGGATAAGAAAGACCAGTGAAAATTTCAGGCTTTTATCTGTAATAGATTTGAGATATCCATGTTCCAACATTCACTCATATTTCAATCTGCAAACAAATGGCCTGAAAGGCGATTGACAAACCATTTAGAAGAAAAAAAAAAAAAAAAAGATGTAATGAGAAGCATTTGATCAACGGAATTAAAATTTCACAGCATGTATTTATGTATGTTCAAACACTGGATCATAACATTCTCATGCAATTCAGAAAGAGTTGAGCAAACAATGTTCTAAAAATGTACTGATTTAAGATGGACTGATCCATTAACCTCATGCAGACCAGTCTGGGATAACCAAAACTAAAAATCACCGTTCACTTAAAACAACAATACATTAAGATGCAGTTATATATTAAATAATGAACAGAGCCATAAAATAACACTTCTTTGGACAGTTACATCACAAATTCAGTTTCAGTCTAATTTCCTGAGTATCATGGATAAATAAAAATTTTTTAAAAACAGCTGTAAGTTGAAATACTTTGTAAAATGAAGAAAATATGCTGTGATTAAGCCCTTGGTATTGATAAACGCGTAATCAGTGACTTTTGTTGACAACAGAAATTAGACATTAATGGCTGTATGTGTCACGGTTTGTGGAGGCAGACCGTGCGGTGGTGTGTGTGGTGGACCCAGGTGCGAACACACGAGAGTAGATTGGAGTAAACTTAACTGAAAGCGAGCCTTTATTGCGGCTGGTGACAAGGAGTGCAGACAAGGCAGAAACGCAGTGACAAGCTAAACTATGACTAAACTGGGAAAGTAAAACTAGGAAAAACTATGAAGACACAGGAAACCATAACTATGAATACTAAGACTGGCTGTGACAACATGGAGGGTGGGAACACAGACGACGCGACACAGACTACATGAAACACAGAGACTAAATACACATGAGGGATGATCAGGGGAAGTGGCCACACATGGGAACACAGCTGACACACATGAACCTAACGACAGGAGAGGTGAAACTAAATACACTGACATTGAATACAGACTTTCAAACTAAAACAAGAAACATGGAGATTAGACATGACATGAACTAAACATAACCACGCAGACATGACGCATGAACCAGGGAGACTTAGTGCAGGGGGAGATGACATAAACAACTAAGGAACAAGACTAAACAGCAATCTAGAAATTAACTAGGTGAGCTAAACTAGGGCACAAATGAATATAAAAGATACATATAAGAACTCAAACACTGGGTCACAGACCCAGCCCATGACAGTATGTTGAGTTATTTAGAGGTGACAGCAAATTTACAGTGTTATACAACCTGTACACTGCTTTACATCAAAGTCTCATTGTGACACACGCTAGGCACAGATACACCCACACACAGGTCGTTAACATCAGATGCACGTTTATTGTGAGTGTCCACAGAAGTACAGCAGAACACCGTTTGACAGCGGTCGGTTTCCCCAGCTTCCTCTCCCTCCGCTCCTCTCCACCTCACTATATAAAGGGAAGGAAAACCACCATCAGTCCAAACCGCCATCAGCTGTTCTTACCAGCACCGCCCCGTTGAGCCCACTGCACCACTCCTCCCCTGCAGCCGAGCGCCGGACCACACCTCCGCCACAGTCATATTTTCAGTGTTGTTCCATGAAAAGATACAATAAAATATTTACAAAAATAGACAAAGTGCACTTTTTTGAGATACTGTATGCATGCGTTCTATTGATAGACAGGTAGATAGAGTTGATACTAAAGCTTTCGGTTCTGGTGGTGTCATGGTTTGGGTGGGTGCCTGCAGGTCTCCAACAGCGGCTCCTCCTCCTTTAGGTGGAGATCGGTTGCTCCTCCCTGGCTGTCCACCTGTGGGCAATTATTCCGGCAGCATATAAAATCTGCGCACTCAACCGTTCATCGCCTGAGTATCTGATATCCCATGTTAGTCAAGTGGAGTGTGATTGCTCTGTCCAGAACCCGTGTGACGACTTACCTGTTTTTGTTGTCCTCAGAGGTAGCTCCTGGAGTGGAGGTCTCGCCTCCCTCATCCCCGCTTTCCTAGACCTGGGCCACCTGCTGCTGGTACGACGTTACCAACTGGCCCACCACTCACTTGCCTGCCTCCCCACGTCTTGACCACATCCAGGCCTTCTGTCCTACCTGTTTTCACCTCCCCACTGCCTCTGCTGTTCAGCTGCATCCTAGAGTTGTCTAGGTCACTCTTAGTTAACTTAGTTTTTACTGCGCGCCTCTAGTGTGGTGGCGTCGTTTTGTTTTTGCTTGTGTTTAATTGTGGGGGGAAATAAACCTTTTGTTCACTTACCGTCTCGCTTCCGATTTGGTTTCTGCACTTGTGTCCATCTCAGTTACCTCGTACCGCTGGGCCGTGACAGGTAGGCCATGAGATGTAGCCAATTGTGACTTTAAAGAGCAACACTGCCCTTGCTGCTCAAGCTGCTGTTGCATTTAGGAAACTGCTGGGAAATTCCACACAGAGTGTTTGATTTCAGCAGATGATACCATTTTACTTAGTATCTGGAGGAACACTGAGAGCAGGGAGAGGATGAGTTAACTATAATTTGCCAAATCTCCCTCAGTGTCATCAGAACTTTTGTCATAGCCTTCTCTTGGTTTGTGGGTAGAGGATCAAGGTGTGTGTCTGATCAAACACACACAAACTCACACATGTGCAATAAGACTGCTATATGTGCAATTCTTTTTTTTTTGACAAAGTTTTGTATTTCCCTTACTTAGTTGTATATAGCATTTCTATTCTATTTTATTCTATTGTATATATTATTCTATTTTATTCTATTGTATATACTATTTTATTTTATTCCATTCCAGTGTTTTCTAATTTCTGCTACATAACTTTAAACAAAACAATTTCCCACCTGTGGGACTAATAAAGGTCATCTTATTTTATCTTATCTTAGTTAGCCATTACCTCTTGGTCATTATCCTATGTGTGTCTGTGTCATTGTACTGGCATCGTGTTTGGCTTTCTGTTTCATATCTAGCACCTCTAGTTCCAGTATACTGAACATTATGTTGGAGGTAAGAATAAGGTTGACTTTCACAACCAGATTATTAAAGGGTTTTAGTTGGTGGTTTTGAATTTATGATAAAAACAAAATCTGGCTCTCAGGACCACGATAAATAGGAGGTTCAAAGGTAAGGTAAAGTTATTTTCACCATGGGCCTCATCTTGTCAGAATGAAAAGAAAACAGTCTCAATTATTTGCCAATTATCTGGGTTTCTTTCACTTTAATCAATGGTAATTTAAAAGAAGACCAACATAGACTGCTAAACTCTGAAAGCGAAAACGAGGTAGGATTTTGAATCATTAATTTAAACAAAAAGATATAAGCTCAGAAGAACAATTCAAGCTCAGTCAATGAAAGGGAGTGCAGTCCTTGTATACTGTGGTAAATAGAATAAGTATCTTTACTACATGTGTTCTTTTTTTAAATAGTAGATCTACTTGTGATCAAAGTACGATACTTCAATATGTTTCACTATGGTTAAACATAGATCTGCTATTTTTCTTTTAAACTAACCATACTCACCTGTTACACCCCTTTGTGTTAGGATACCTGGGTCGTTGACCCAGGGTTTTTTTTAAATTTATTATATTATTTATAATTTCTAGTCTTTGGGTTTTTGTTAGAGTCATGTCTTATGGTTTGTCTCTGTGTAATCCTTACTTGCTGTCTCCCCTGTCCGGTATATCCCCGTGTCCAGTCAGTGTCTGTGTCTGCCCTGGTCCCACGTCTCTGTTCCCTCTGTTGTAGTGCCTTTGATTAGCTGACCTTTGGGCTAAATGAGTTCAGCCCAGATGTGGGAATTTTGACAAACAAGAGAAGGGAGCAGATTTAAACCCAGTGGGAGTTTCCCCCCAAAGAGGGACAAAAGGACCCCCTGATGATCCTCTACCTAATCACATGAGCCAAGGTGTGAAAACGGGTGTGGGTCACAATCAGCCAGGGTTTCGGGTGAGCTCATTGTGAAACCTGCACCCAACCTATCATGTGATTTCCTGAGGTCAGATGGCCCAGGATGTGAGTGGGCGTTGAGTTGTCTAGGGAGGGAACTCAAAACTGGATTATAGATGGCAGAGAGTTGGTGTCGTAAACCACCGCCTCTGTTCAAAGATGGTCGCTCACAGTGGACATAGATGCTTCTTTCACTCCTCTTTCAAACCATCTGTCCTCTCTGTCCAAAATGTGAACATTGGCATCCTCAAAGAGTGACCTTTGTCCTTTAGATGCAGATGGACTGCTGAGTCTTGTCCCGTGGAGGTGGCTCTTCTATGTTGTGCCATGTGCTTGTGAAGTGGCTCGCGCTTGTAAATACAAATATTTTTCAAAGTATTTTTTTAAATAAGTATTTGTAAAAAAAACAAAAAAACACGCTATTTGTGCCTTTCCGAATACCGTATTCGGGTTCAGCTCCACTCCTACTTTTCACATTTGACCAACTTCTAGATGGCATAATTTTGTTAGAGGTCTTAGCTCAACAGGGAGAAACAAAGGCATTGTTGTAAAGGTTTGACAAACATCACATAATGTTGGACTGTAAAGTGGAAATACCTGTCACACCTTTGGGTTTTCAATGGATATGTTTTCATTGTGTGCCCTCATAATGAACCACAAATATGTATGGTGTTTTTTTATGATCAATATCTGTTCAAAAGAAATGTTTAGAACGAGGCCACGAGGAGTGCTGTGGAAATGTCTTGGTCAACAGAGCATTTTCCACAGAACTGTG